GCACACACTTACTCAGCTGTGAGTATCTGTAAAATAAAGATATTATTAAAAAAACCGAATTAGTTCTCTAAAAGCACATTTCTTTAATGAAGTCGCTGGGCTAAGTAAATATTGTAAGACCTGCGCAAAATGGCTGAAAGCATCCAGCTCAGACTTCAAGTTGTCGTCAACTTTGTTGTGTAGGGTCCAAAGGATATGGAGCGGAGTGTGGGTTGCTATGCGCTCTCCTTTATATCATAACTGCGAAATTAAGCTTTTTGAAAATGCGCAACAAACGAGGCCAACCATGTGGAAATAGCTATGAAGGCTACTGGAAAAGCCAAAGTCAAAAACTGAAGACAGGGAGAGCAAACTTTGACACTGGCTCAGAAAGTCAAGCAACAACAATTTCAAATGTAGCCAGCTACAAAATTTATTAAAGTGTGCGCTTGTTGGAGCTTAAATACATTTAAATATATAGAAAATGTTATTTACATGTATTTTCTTTAGATGAGAATTTAAAATGTTTTATTACGAATATAAGCTAAGCTAGATAGCTTGGATTGCAAGGTAAGTGCACAATATTAAAGGCTTTTGCTATTTATATATATTTATAAATTATAATACATACATATATAAGCTCAGATTAAGAAATTGTCAGTGTTATAATATGAATTGCGATATCTATAAAGTGTTAAATTTTTCAGTAATATCTGTTCCAGCTTAAGTTATTAAACCATCTTATTTTAGAACTAACGACACTCATGTCAAATAAAAAGATTTTCAATGATTTGTAGTATCTGTGAAAAGGTGGTGCGGCAAGTTTGCATCTGCATGGCTGCTGCACTTGCAATGCTGCTTGCATTGTTGTTGGTTGGCCCTGAGGCGACCCCTTAAAGTATGCAGCAATCAAAAAATATCTGCACAACTATTTGTTAGAAAACAGCAAAACTATTTCTATACAAATGTCACAATTTCTTTTCGTCCTTTTCTATGAATGTCATTCAAATTGATGCTCAACGAGTGGCAGGCCGAGGCAGGCGGCATGCCACCCAATAACTATTTTACAATGCCAGCAGCCGTTGCCTGTCAATGTCAGTTTGCGAACAGCAGTTGCAATTTCTTATATAGAACAAACTGGGAGACAACGGCAAAGCACAAATTGATAAACCAGGGGCTATGACTTAGCTCAACAAGTAACTTGAAGAAATACGAAAACGAGTCGTCCCACTCACTGTGCACATATATCTTGCATACTTTTGCCACCATTCGACAATCACTTTACTCACACGCTCGCTCGTATTCATACATTCAGTCACTCAGTCAACGACGCGACGTTTCATGTTTCGTGCTCTGTGCTGCAAAACTTGGTTCCGCTGCTCTAACATGTTGACAAGTTCAATCTGTTGTGCCTGCCTTGACTCCCTCTCTTTAACACGAGCCCTGCCTAGCTGACTAGCTGGCTGACTTTTGTCAGCTTGCCGCATATGTGCGTCATTTTTGCTGCTTCCCGTCTGCTTTTCTCAGTTCAGCGAACAGCAGGGCTTTTTATTTTCATTTCTTGGCTTCAATTTAAATTCATATTATTTGTGTTTCAAATGTGCCCACGCACCCACACACACACAAATATGAGCAGAAAATGTGAGCAAGAAACACACATGCCATAAATATGCAGCTGCTTCATCACAAGGAAACACAAATGCGCTGCATACCCAAATAAAATTAAATAAAACCTTAAATAGACTAAAATATAGCAGTTAAGACATAAGCTATGGTAAATAATTTAAATAAAACATAAAAAGCGTACGCACCTTCAGAATCTTCGACTAGGATGTGACCTATAGCCTTGTCAGAACCACAACAGTAGAAAGGGAATTAAGAAAATTATGTATTTAATTATATTTAAAATATATATTTTTTAGAAGAAGATAACGCTTAAATTTACAAATTTTACTTATATTTAATAACTGTTTATATTTATATCTGTTATCTAATGTGGTTATCATTAACAACAGACGAAGGTTGAAATGATTAAATCTTCGGACCGCCAATGAAACAACATAAAATAGACAAAAATAAGAATTTTTAATATATTTGAGAAATTTATACTGGCGCTATAGAGTCTAAGACAACGAGCTGCAAGCAGCAGAACTAAATAAAAAAAAACAATTAAATACTATTAAAAAGGTGATATACCGTATTTCAAATTTCTGCAATAAAATTGATCATTTTATTGGAATTTTATATATAGTGAACTATTAATATATATATTTCTAAAAATGTATTTATTTATTTATTTCAAATCGATAAACTTTCAAAAATGTTAGTTTGATTTTGATAGCATTTACTTAAGTGCGCATATTGCTATAAAAAGAAAGCACATAACTCTTTATAAAGTAAAAATTATGTATTTTTTACATCCTTTGTGCATTTCTCACAACAATTTTAGTGGCTAACAAAACGACCATAAAAATCGTGAGATCCATTCACTGCACTTCTTACCCTGCAATGAGCAGGATATTTTTTTTTAGATTTTCCCAGTGGTGCATTTCCTGTTGGTATTTATATATATACATGTATATATATTTGATATACATTTCGATTTATTACTACGCAAGAGTCAAGTTTTTGACTTTCACATTTTTGCGGACATATAATTCATAGCATACTTTCTGTCATGCAATTTAATTTCCCGCTGACTGCAGAAGTTTTGCAATCTGTTTGATTTAGCATTTATTTCTGTCGCTCGACAAATTCAATTTGATTGCAAAATGCAAAATTTTGTATGGCCCAAGGCGAACGGGCAGCTTCATGCTCTGCATTCAACAGTTTTAATGCAATTTCTGCAACGGTCAACGGTTAGGCTGACAGTCAGCTTTTTGCAGCTGAAGGCTTCGGGTTGCCTTGATATAATTAACATTGCTTTGCAGCTGATGGCTGAGTGGCAGCCATTTAAATTGCCGTTAGCTGGAGCTGGACACGCCCCACTGGCGAAGCCCACACGATTAGGGCGCGCGTGTCAGTTGTCTAATTTTATCGCAAAAACAATTTGTCGCGCAAAGTTTTTGCTGACAGCATTTTCCGACTTTGTGGCAAATTTTCCAACGATTAATAAAAGCCAACGAATGGTGCTGCAACTGCCGACATTTACTGCAGCCGTTGCTGTGGCCCAGTTGAAACTTAAACTGAATTCTGTGACATGTCAGAACTTTGTGACTGTCATTTATTTATGAATTGCTCGCTCGTAAAGTTGTTGCCGCACACACGCACACGCACATACAGATAGCATCCAATTAGCATATTAAATTAAATAAATATTAAACTAACTGCTGTTGGGCTTCAGCCATATATACACACACCCACACACACATTGCCTATACGACATGCAGTCCAGCGCTGTCAATACCTAAAGTGATCAACTACACACACACAAATGAGTTGACTGTCATGCAGTTAGTCATTCACTCGTCAAACATCAACCCTATGCCACACCACCTGCCAGTCTCTATGGATTACTTTCCAACGGCTTTTACGAGTCCTGGGCCCAGCCCCAGCTACAGCCACGGCCCGAGTTCTGCTCATAATTTATGCCACTTATCTTAATAATTTTGGTCGGAAAACTTTACCAACATGCATCGACATCGACAGAGGCAGTTCAAATATTTCAAACATTTACTTAGCCAGCAGTGAAAGGCGTAGGCCAGGACAAGGCCTGGAATTTTAGGTGTCCTTCGTTTGTTTTATAGTAGAAACGCTGGTTGCATTCATGCTGCAAATATTTATAACTTATGAAAACTATTAAATATTTAAGTCCATTAAGTTAATAATTTGATTAAAATTAATGTTTAAACTCTCAAAATATAACCCAAGCTAAACATATTAGCAGAACTGGTTCAGTTCACAAGCTGAAACTCTGTTAAGAAAAAAAGGAACTCAGAGTCTTTATGATGCATTTATCTAGTTGAAATTTTATTAATAAATATTTAAATAAATATGCCTTGGCGCTAAATATTTATTTAAATTTTATATATACACTTTTAAGTAGATATAATTATATATCTCGTGTTCATCCTTATCGATTTTTGCATTATTATGCAATTTCTAAAATTTCTTAGGCAAATATTATTAATTTACTCAACAGTGCTTAATATATCAATAAATTGGTGCTTAGAAAGTACTCATGCCTACTTTGAAGAACCAGTTTAGTAATTCAAGGAACTGAAGCTACTTGGTTTGTCGTGGCCCCAGCTCCAGCCAATTGAGCGCATCCCTGGCATTGTTACCTTCGCCTTGGCATGTTACATCAACTTCGTCGTCGCTGTATCACACACACACTCACACACCCATAGAGACACGCAGGCACACATATTTGCATGTACATAGCTGAAACGCCCCATGCGGCGGTTTTGCTGTTTGTTTTAGTGCCAATGTAGCATAGTTTTATGCATATCCTAGTAGTCCTGTGTGCAGCGTCTTTGCTATGGCATAACTTTCTGCGACATTGCTGTGTGTGGCTCCCTCCATGAGAATGCTGTGGCTGTAGCTGCTGGCTGCTCCAAGCTAAATTTACTTTGCTCTACTTGACTTTTCCCTCCTTTCTTTTTCATTTTCAGTCTTCCTTCCTTTTTTTTTGTGTTTCAGTTTTCGTTGGTGTTGCTGCCTTGGCACAGCTGAACGCCCTAAAACGGTAAGCATATTTGCGTACAAGTATGTGCTAGTGTGAGTGCGTGTGTGTGCGTGTCGGCTACACTACCTAAACTACACATTATTCATTCATGTTGGACATCTACTTGAAAATTGACTTATGTGATGTGCACATACCTATACACTCACAAAATTATGTACGTATATACATGCAGATGATTTGGCGAAGGCTGACAGAGATGTCCTGACAGCTGATGCCTGCCGACAGCATTTTGTGGTAATATGCATTCAAAATAACATATACGATTTGTGTGTTTCGGAATGTTGAAACAATGTTGAGCGTTGGGTTTGTCACGTAGCTCAGGTGTTAACGTAGC